TTCATAATTCATTTTCTTCTTTTTAGCCATAAAGAAAATGCATGATCTTTCCAATCTATACCTCTGTCATTTTCTGTTTTTGTTGTGTTTGAATCTGGATAAAATTGTGAAATTCTTGATTTGAAAAAAATTAATGTTTTCTCTGCAAATTTGTCTAGATCTTCCAGTATCACCTGGATAAAATAAAACACCAATAACATAGTAATAAAAAAGTTGTTGATCAAATTATCATATTAAAATTGATCACTTTTATCATTTTAAAAAGTCTACACATACAGTAGTGTAGTTAATTCTTTTAATCTCAAACACAATATCACTGTGATTAAATACTTTAAGATATGTAAGGATTCAAGAAAATGAATTTAAAACACAAAGAGAAAGACTGGTTGGGATTTCTCATGCTCTTGGAAATTTTCATAGTATGTGTATTCCAGAATTCGACATTTGAGTTAAGTACATGTACATGATTCAACCATGCTTGTTCCAAGACTAAAAGATCATAATTCAATGGGAGGTTGAAATGGTAAACTATATATAAACTGTGTAACATAGTTACAAAATATCAAAACAATTTAACAAAAGCTTACTCTCTTTCTTCCAGCTTTCTCTGACACTCCACTATATTTACAGTCATAATCAAAAACTTGATTTGGAAATTTGATTTTGAGCTGTTTTTTCAACTCCTGAAAAATAAAAGATGAGGAAAAAATAGTATCTAGCTGTTGTCTGTTTTAGTTCAATCTAGCTGTTGTCTGTTTTAGTTTAATTAGAGTAGTCTTTAAGGGACAGACACCCTTATTGTGTGTGTGTGTGTGTGTGAGGAGGGGGAGGGGGGGTCAAAGCATTCATCAAGTATCTGACTGCATGAATGCTTTACAATTACATGCATTGTTTACAAAAACATAGTTTTAATAAATACTATTTTTATACCTTAAGTGGTGAGCTTAAAAATTATTGATCTGCTAGGAAAAGTCCCTCTCTTTTAACCATGTTACAAGGGGTCCGTGCTTCCTAGAGTGGGATGGAGGTTTTCAAGGTCCACTTTTGGTTACTTTACATACTAGAAATTCAATAACCCTGAGAGACATTCCACTCCATCCCTTCTAGATCTGAGCAATTTTTTTGACCAAGCACTTTTTACATTCAGTTTGCTTTAAAGGACTAGTACTTGCATTTCATTTTCGTAGTGTTCGGAGTTTATACGGTAATTATTTTGTCACTTTTTTCTATATTTAAATAATTATTTTGGAAATCTTGATAGCTGTCACAATTTTTATTACACAAGTCTTTTATCAAACAAGAACCAACCCATTTTTTCTGTTATTTTCTTACAAGTATATATACTTTAAAATTAGAGAGAAGACAAACCTTCAAGTGACATTTGTTCAAGATTTCCTTGTCAACAAATCTTTTTCGAAAATCTTCTGGAATATCATTTATGACATCAGAATTACGGAAGAAAAACACTGCATTAGGATTACATGACCTAGCAATAAAAACAATCAATTAAATTTAATAAACAGTCAAGATATGTAATTATAAGGGTGATCTCAAGTATGTATAGGAAATGTACAAAAAATCTTTTTAAAGCTCTTTCACTTCAAAGCTTCGATTTTTATTTTTGAAGAGGTGTAGCATTATCTAGATTGACAAAAAAAAAATCTGAATTAACTTAGCCAAATCTACCACTTAACACAAAGTAACTTTATTTTGGGAGAATATAAAATACACAGATATGCTATACAACACTGAGTCACCAATTGATGGTGACTAAAGTTAAAATTATCATTTTTCACAAGCTACATTTTTCATACCTATACGCTCCATGCAGAATCTCCATGAAAGTGATTGAAGTGTTAGGTACCCACATATACAGATCTTTTAAATCGTTGCTAAGATCTTTCCCCTCTGGAATCCAGCCATACCTACAAGTGAATTACATATGCTGTAGGTCATGGACATTGGGATTTGATTAATACTGAATGTCCTCTGAAGATGAAATCCACATGATGCTAAGAATAATAACCTTTCACCCAATAAATTGATAAAGAATGGGCATCCATTAGTCTCTGCATGACACCAGTCTAGCTCCTCCAAACAACACTGAATGGTTTCCTCCGAGTCAGTGTCCTTTGGTACCCCCCATCTGAGATCACACTCCACAAGACGAATGTTCCTCTCCTCACACCACTCCCTCAACTCAGGAAACACCTGTTCATTAAGTAAAATTAAATGAAAAATATATACACTTAGCAATATTTTTATCTTATATATTCATTCTTACCCCACATGTGTGTAGAAAATTTAGAGTTTATTACACATGCATACCAAAAGTTAGATAGAATGTTCTATCGTTAAAATGATATTGTCCTACGGACCCGGTTTAATGATAGAATTCGTTCAGTGTATTCGTAATGTAGCAGAAAGAAACACGGGCGATAACTCGCATAGTGCATTTACTAGGAACAATCTAGAGAGTTCCGAATGTAGTAATTTGAATCGAGAGAAAAACGTTGAGAAAATTAATTGGATTTTCGTATATATATGGATTATTTTATGGGATAAAAGGCATAAGCAATCTCAAAAAGGTTTGTTTTGATTATTTTGGTAGTTATTCCCAGTGCAAATAATTTTATATTCTTCAAAATCGTTTCGGAGCGGATCCGCTCCGATTTGCTACATTACAAGTATATGGGACGTATTCTAACTGTGGTGAGGGCCTGTACCGAGACACAGTTAGATTATTCTAACTAACCAAAAGTTAACCTATCTAAACAAACAAAAATTCTGGGCTATATACCAAAGAATGTTCCAATATAAACTGAGTACCTCTATTTATAGTAAAAATATCTTTTTATGCAATATCCTAAATTTAATTCTCAGCTTGATTTTCAGCTCTTAAATTAAAAGGAATAATATTTAATCGAAATATTTGTACCTTCTTCACTAAAACTTCTCTTTCACAGAAGAAATCAGTAAATGTTGATGACACAAAAACTCTCACGATCCTCCATGGACCCTCTGCACCTTCCTCTGAAGAATTCCTTGCGCGGACTTTTTCGTTGTTTTTGCATTGTTCCTCTACAAGTTTCCAGCAGGCATCAACTATTTCTTTGGCTTTAGCCTTTTCCTTAAAATAAACAATAAAAAATCGTCTGATTAGCAAGCCAATATTCAATATCTAATCAAAAGGAATTATACTAAATACTTCCAAGAACAAAACACTGGTCATTCACCCGTTTTTCCTGATTTTCTGCCGTCCGATATCGTCTATACATGATGTCAGTCTTCCTTGTCAATTCTATTAACGATCATTTTGAGGATGTTTGCTTTATTTTTGAGTTTGTTTACTTATTTTCCAAGACAGTCAATGTCAAAATTAAACTTTTCAAACCAACGCACAATGACATTCTATCAAAGCGCAAATGAGATCATAACTTAAGAATCTTAATTTTAGACCCTTAGGATAGGTCTTCACAGTTCCGGATAAGATAATCTGGAAATGATTTGTCTACATTTTTTACTAAAACAATGTTTGTTATCCAAAAAAATATATAATAAATTTATGCTGAAACCATTTAAAAAATTATAAGAATAAATTGAAAATATTATGAAAGCAGGTTAAAAGTGGGGGAAAATTGTAGAGGGGGGGGGGAGGCTAAACCAACAAAAAAATGTTAACCCCAATTTTCAATGCCTATATATTTTGTCTTTCTTTGCAGTGCACCCCCCCCGTTCTGGTATCTATGCATATAAGTAAAGTACAAAGATAATTAAAATTCACCTTTTAATAAACCCCTCCCATCTAGAAAAAGCAAACTCATTTTAAACTGGTAAGGTATGATGCTGAAGAGTAAAGAAAAGTGCCTCCTTTATGAAATGTTTTAATTTAGATGTTGTAGAGAGGAGTATGTTTTAGTTTTTGTTTTGTTTCTTTTATTATTTTTTATTTATTTGGGGGGTGGGTGTGTCATCAAAGAAGTTTCTTGGTTGAATTTTGTTTTGTGACTGTGGTGGAAATTACCCCTTGTCTGCATGGAAAAACTCTTAGACTGGAAACAGCTAAACCTATTTGTTTCATCCTGATAACTTTTTCAGTGTGACCACTTTGATTTAATGTTGTTAATAATATTAATAAGAGAAAATTGTACAGTTGCATGCATGAGTTTTTACTTTTGCCCAGTCATGACAAGGAGCACACTGCAAGTATTACCAGTCAACTATGACATTTCATCCCATCCCTGTTTTCAGAGATGATTTTTGTTTGCTCTGCTCAGTATTTAGCTGTTTTTTTCCACAAACTTTGAGCTTGAATATTATAATTATTTGACTTCATGTTTATGGGCTTACATAATTTAGCAGGAAGGGAGAAAATTTATGGCTGGAATGGAGACTGAACCTGGGACCCCTGAATTACTAGTCATGTGGTCTGGGCTATAATCCAGTCAAATATTCATGGCCAAATTACCCACATTGCCTTAATATACTTTCAACCCAGATTATTTTATCTCCTGAAAGACCAATCCAGGGGTAGTTTATGACAAGAAATTCAAATATGTGTCGGATCAAAAAGTAAAATAGGAGGTGCACAATGGCAACATGTAATAAAGATTCTGTGAAAGTTTCATCAAATTTCATTCAGTGGTATGAGAGGAGTTGCGGATAAGAGATGGGTACCCCAAAGCGTAACAGACGGACGGACAGACGGACGGAAAAATATACCCCCACTTTTCAAGCGGGGGGTATAATAAGGGGAAAACTGGACCAAGAAACAAACCTGAGGCATCTTTATTACTAGTCAGGTTCTCTTATAAAATTTCAAACACTATTCAGGCCAATATCCATGGTTAATATAGCCAACAAAAAACTAAAATATACCTTTTTATATTTGTATTTAGTGAATACAATGCACAGTTTTAACATAAAAATAGTATAATGTCATTGACACTGTGTGATGATAATTAAGAGACTGAGAGAAAATCTTACTTTTTAGTTTTTTTTGTTAAGATTTTCATAACTGATTGCATACATCTATAATTGATTTAAAATATTTTTAAATGTTTTGATATCACTGTCATTTGCATACTTCAACAAAATTCTCTTTGCCATAATAACATCCCCTTTACTTGGATCAAATGACTCCCATACTCGCTCGCATTCTTGCTGATTAAATTTTGAAGACTTCTCCGAAAATCCAAACCACAAATCTTTGTAATCATTTTCACATCCATTACCATAGTAACACAAAAGTTTAAGTGCAAAACCTACAGAAGACCAAGATCTGTAGGCATGAGAAATTTCATTGTCATACAGTTCTACTAGATTTTTAACATCCGTAAAATAGGGGGTCACAATTCTGCCAGTAAATTTTGGGGAAATTCTTGAATAATTCTTATTCTTGTCCACTTGATTTTGACTTGAACACAACTTGGATTTCAGGGAATTGTACATACTTAGTTCCTCTTCTCCAGATTCTTCAATGGACTGAATTTCTCTTTTGAGATCTTCCCCAGCTGCATCTGATATTTGTGAACATTTCTTGTACCTAATAGAGAATCTGTCCACCCAATAAAAGACGTCACTTTCTGAATTCAAATTTAGTGTAAATGGCTGTAACCGTTCACCATACTTGAAAACATAATTTACAGCATAAGGATAAAGATCACAATGTTTCTGAGAACCAAGCATGAACCAAGGATTTTTACCTATCTGGTCAATAACAATTTTAAACTCCTCCTCCTCTGAAGTCTCTTTTTTAACAGTTTCCGCAATGGGAATGTGAAATAGTTTATTGTGTAGATTTGTTGGAAAAACTAAGTCAGGGAAAATGGCATGAATTCCTTCCTTGTTTCCACTTTCCACAGTCAAATTCTTCTTTCTCTGCATAATATAAGCAACAAGCAATCTATCAGTTTTTACAGAGAATGGATCAGGCAGATATTCCAAACTCTTCTCAACATAAAGATTCAATAAATGTTCAATATACTCTTCACTCAGCCCAGATGAAGAAGAATCTTTTTTCTCAACGTCCACATCAACTCGCAAGGGAGAATATACTGTGGGTAATTCTAATAATGTCATATACTGACCATCAATGACCGCTCTAGAATATTCTCGCAAAAAAGTCTCATTATCTACTTTTGGCACATGAAATTTTCGGGGTGGATTCATGGATACATGTGTAATAGGGGTGTCCTCTGATTTTCTTTCTATCCCATATCTTTCAGATATAGCTTTCCTACGAGCAAATGTATTCATGATTACATTTTCATCTGTTTTCCATCTATCACTGAGAGAGAATTTTCCATTTGTACAACATCTTGTGAATGTATCTTTCCATACTTTGTTCACTCTTTGTGGATATTTTCCAAGCATTTTCAATGCAAATCTTCAAACCTAAAACACAAATACATGTATAAGTAATACATTGTATAAAGCATTAAAGAAAAACAATCCCTACAGTATATATAATATGTAAGACATTATGAAATAAAAGAAAACTTACTAATTATGCTGGAAAAACTGTAGACCCATCCACCTGATGATAAGACAGGCCACAAATACAATCAAGGTACTCGGTAGTAATAAAAGATAGTACACCAATCCCTGCTCCTCAAATACTGAGTCATCCATTACTGAAATTAAAATCAGTAAATACAAGCAAGTACAAATGTAGCAATCAATGGTCTAGACTAGGTTCAAAACAGAGAAGTTTTATCCCTATATACTTACAGCTGCAGAACTTAGGGGTGGGACGATACACACATCTTGCGATACGATACGTATCTCGATATATTGGCACGATACAATACGTATCTCGATATTATGACAAATTATAAAACTATTCAAAAGAATTAGTATTTTATTTCTTAGTTTTTTGTCTTGACATTAAATCAACAAATTATTCTATATCAATTAAATCATGTTTGCTTTGAAATTGATACTTATTTTCATAAAAGTTCATCAATTTCATTGACTAAAACTTTACAAAAACAATAATACATGTACATACTATTATTACCAAATTTCTATTAACAAGTTGTTTACAATTAGTTGTGTAGTTCATTAAAGAACACTGACTAAAAATTCATTTAAAAAACACCACAATTACATTATGATTAATTGCTGAAAGTCTGTAGCCAAGTTGAGATTACAAAAAAAGTACGAGATGGACTAACAATTAATGATAATCAAATGTTCTAGCTGGAAACGATATTTTCTGTGTATAGCACGCATTACATACTGAACTTTTCTTGTCCAATCTTCCGAGGCTGCTTAAAAGTGAAAACGTTTTACCCGTAACCAACGACTTATTATTTCTAAAGTGTGTTTTCAATATCAACATCATCTCTTCGCTCGTACAAGCCGCCATTTTCCAAGGACAGGTACTTTTATTTTCAATTTTTGCATAGGTCGTTCGTGTATCGTTTCGTACCGATATTTGAATGCTTGTATCGTAAACCGTATCTTGGAGGAAAATATCGGTATGTATCGGTGTATCGGTATATCGTCCCACCCCTAGCAGAACTGTACTTCTCCAAAAAAAATATTGACAGACCGGAGAGCTACAGATGTCAACTACCAGAGTACTTGGTAGTGGAGTAAGGAATTAACATATTTTAAATCTAGCTTTTTTGGCAACTGAGGTACAAAATTTGGAAGAATTAATCCAGAATCTAGCACACAAATAGATGTACAGTTTTTTTCAATGGGTAGCACTATTTCCCTCGGCTGTCACCTGGTCACTGACTGAGTCATTTTATGTTTCTTTTATTCAACCCATTAAGGTAAACAAAAATGGTGCAGTACATTTACAGTTCTATATAATATTATCAGAGACATAAATAATTGTTTTATTTCCTATCTAGCTTGTAACATGACATGACGTCACAAGGCATTGTAGTATCAGGGACCTATATACCAACGGTTTATAGGTCCCTGGTAGTATGGAGTAAATCTTATTGAAAGATTGAGACACGGTTGATTGGTGTGTTTAAAAAGAATTTTTTGGGAACATAGAAATAAATTCGTTATCCAGGTCTATCAACACCTGTTCACGGGTGTACGGGGATTTACCCTGGGTTGAATTCCATATACCCTTCGGCCTCAGAGTGTATGGAATAAAACCTGGGATAAATCCCCGGTTTCGGTCTCAAGATGTATGAAATAAAACCCGGGGTAATTCCCCTTACACCTTTGACTGAACCTGGATAACTAATAATGTTCATCCCCTCGACATTCTATCCAATTACAGTCAAATGAAATCAAATTAGTAGAAAAAAGTAACACAAAAGAACTAAATAGCTAAATGTACCTATGTGGGGCGCATGTTGAAATTCTCATGGAAAAATTAATGATCCTGACTGACACATGGCTACATTTCTTTTCGAAATAATTCAAAAACTAATGACCGGATCCTTTTGTCGCTTGCTAAAGGAAAGAATTTTCAGGGTTTACCTTTATTTCCGGATTAATAAGAGTTATCTCTCTTTCCATATATCGCTCCTGTTTCGGGAAAATATTATACACCAACTTTCCAATTTGAATTTCACTCTATGAAAATAAGTAAATATTTCTTTCATCACACGCAGAATAGAAATTAGTCGATGAAAGAACTGTTTCTGAAGAATTTTTTTTTTATTTTTGGATCAATTAAAGTGCACTTAAACAGTTAAATGTTTCGCTACATGTAAAAGTAAACTCAAATAACATTGTTGCAATTTGACAAAGCTTGTTTGAAGAATCTGACTGGACTTTTACAGGATTAAACTTTTTAATAAGCATGATAAGTTTCTACTTTATCAGGCTGCAATACATGTAATATAGCCCTCTCAGATTTTTATCTGGATAGGCCAAAGAGAGAGAGAGAGAGAGAGAGAGAGAGAGAGAGAGAGAGAGAGAGAGAGAGAGAGAGAGAGAGAGAGAGAGAGAGAGAGACTACATTATTCACGTTATTGCAGCTTTACTTTATCTTGATGTTTTCAATGGAACATAAAGTGTTGGTCAATATATGTTGGTACATGTATATCTACAAGATTATTTCAGACCAGTACTTTAACAATTTTTAACTCTTAGTTAAAAGGGCAAGCAACTTCCCCAGAAGAGTCGGCGTAAAACAACAATAATCAATCGTTTCTGGCCCTTTTTGACCATCTCACTGTAAATAGTGGTCTCGTGGAAGGAACAGCTGCCCTGGCCATTTTTTTAAATGCAGACATAAAATGAAGAGGGCGGCCAGAGAGAAAAGAAATAACCTACCTGAAAAATCTTTGATAAGCTTAATTTTTTTCATTTGTAATTGTCAAGGGGACTGTCGAATCATGATATCTTTTTTTTTCATGTTCTTGCAGGAAAGAATTATACTAATTTCTGGCGCATAAATAATTTCATATTGAATCGGGGTGTAAGCAGGGGTTCCCAATATATATTGAAGACATTATTAATCTGAATAAAGAGGTCACAGTTGCCTTCTCTCTCTCCCCCATCCAGCATCACCAACGAAAACGAAATAATATTGTCGAGATTGGACAATGGACAATTTTACTTTTCTTTAATATCTTCAAATGTATTCAAAGATTGTTCGATTAAGTTAATTTTTTGTCTGGCCACTCCTTTTACTTTCAGAAACGCTGCTACATATCTGTATTTTCAAGATGACCTGGGATAAGAAACAAGAGGCCCATAGGCCACATCGCTCACCTGAGCACATGGGCTGGTTAAAAAAAATAGTTCAGTATTGAAAAGTTTACTTGTTGGTGGAGGGGGGATTTGAATTTTTTATTACTTGAGAATGTCACTATGTCAATAAACTTAACGCATACATGTACATGTAAAATTTTGCCATACTTGAAAAGAAGATTTTTAAAGATTTTTTTCAACACACATACATGTATTACCTGATCTCCCATTGTGACCCCTTGCTAACCCCCCCCCCTCCTTCCCATCCCCCTGGGTCATTATTTGAATAAATTTAAATCTTTACTACTTGCAGATGCTTACATATCAATTTGACTAAATAAACTTTTCTGTGCTGGAAAAGATTTTTTCCTACATATTCTTAAACAAAACTTTGATCCCTCATTGTGGTTACACCCTAACCCCGGCGGTCATAATTTAAACAAACCCGAATCTAAAGCACCTGAGGTTGCTTCCATTAGTACAATATAAAAAATGACTAATCATGGATTTGGTGTTCTCAAGAAAATTTTATTTAATTAAAAGATTTTTAAGTACATGTATATACTAGTATTCCTATATAAAAATTGATCCCACATTGTGTCCCCTCCCTACCCCAAATAATTCTGATTTGGACAATCTTGAAACTACACTACCTGAGGATGATTCCACATAAATATCACCAATCATGCCATGGCTTTGCTGTTCTTGAGAAGAAGATTTTAAAATATTTTTTCCTAATAAGATAGATTTCTATGTAAAGTTTTGATTGCCAATTATGGCCCCATCCTACCCCAAGGGGTCATGATATGATCAAACTTGAATTCACGTTAACTACATGGATGTTTCTTATTAATATCATCAATCATATGGCTTTGCTGATCTCGAGAAGAAGATTTTTAAAAGATTTTTCCAACGTATTCCTATGTAAAACTTTGATCAGCCATTGTGGCCCCACCCTACCCACATGATTTGAACAGACTTGAATCTACACTGCCTGAGGATGCTTCCATATGAGTTTCATCTTTTCTGGCCCAAAGGTTCTGGAGAAGAAGATTTTTAATGATTTTTCCTATATATTCCTTTTTAAAACTTTGATCAGCTATTGTGGCCCTGCCCTACCCCGGGGGTCATGATTTGAACAAAGTTGACTCTACACCACCTGAGGATGCTTCCACACAAGTTTAATTTTACTAGGCCTATTGCTTCTGGAGAAGAAGATTTTTAAAAGATACAATTAATTTTTCATTAATTCATAATTATCTCCCCTTGAAAGAGGGCTTGGTTCTTCATTATTTGAAGAAACTTGAATCCCCTTTTAATACGCAAAGATGCTTTGTGGCAAGTGTGGTTGAAATTGGTTCTTGAGAAGAAGATGAAAATGTGAAAAATTTACAACGACCCAACGTCAACAACAACAACAACGACGACAGACAACGGACAAATTTTTATCAGAAAAGCTAACTTCGGCTCAGGTGAGCTAAAAAGGAATAAAAAATCTGTCCAAACCCAAGACTCCGTTTTGCGGTGGAACGAGGGGAGGATGATTTTAGATTCCACCAGTCAATGATAAATTTGTATTGATTTTTCTTTCTAGTCAAAAATTTTGAGGACAGTGAGCTTTCTTCAGAATCAAATTGCCATCTTCTATCTGTTGGATCCCAGTTTTCATTGAATGATCATACAGACTATTTTGAAAATTGACAACAATATTCTCAATTCGTATCAGAAAGAATAAACAATCCCACGAAAGCCCATTGGGCTCATTTTCGTATAAAATAGCAAATACAAATAAGATATTGTACAGTACGAATAGCAAATTTCACGCATAGAAATTTCGCGTTATATCGTGAAAGTTATGCGTTATAACGCGAAAGATACGCGTTATTTTACGAAAGTTTCGCTTTATATTGCGAAAGATACGTGTTATATCGCGAAAGTTTCGCGTTATAACGTGAAAAAATTATTTTTTATTATTATGAAAATGAGCCCAATGGGCTTTCGTATATTCCATCTGATACAATGCAGATGAAAAAAATAGCGAACACAAAATTTGTACAGTACGAATGAGAAATTTAACGCAATACGAATAGCAATACAGTATATAATACAAAAAAATACTATTCAAATGATTTTTATTACAACATGTACAATACAAATAGAAAAAATAAAAAGAAAAAAAAAATTGTACAATTTACTTGGAAAAGTATAGAATACAAATAGAAAAAAAATACTATAATAAAACTATAACGCATACAAAAATATATTATGAATAAAAAATTATGTAAAACAAAAGACAAATTAAACAAAGCGAATAAAAAAATTTATACAATTCAAATGTAAAATTTTGCAATGCAAATGGTCAAGATCGAATATTTGCAAATATAACGCCCTTGTTTTAGTTTGACTAGATACGAAATGTTCTGTCGATTTTACGACAGGTAAATCGTAATAATCGAACACCTAGGGATACTTACTTCCCCGGAATACAGGCATCTGATTCCATGCACCTCTGAAATTTCGGAGATTCGACCGTGTTAAATACCTGTTTATAGTTCGTTGTCTTCACCCTTTTCGTCTTTGAAATTTGGATACATATTTGAATGCTGCCAGATTGTGAAGAAAATCATTATGATGAAGAACATAAGTATGTAATGTAGGCCTATATTTTGATGTAAAAATACGTTATGACCCATACTAATGGCATTACCTAAAATACTTTACAAAGACAACCCTGGAGGGAACTAAAGGGTGTCGGGATTCAATAGTGTGTACACATTTATCAATGGCAGGATGTAAAACAACGAATGAAATGATTGTCATATCTCTCAATTATTTCTTCCGAGTTTCAGACGTTGTCCAAAATTCTATCACTCGCACCTCTGTGATCTTCAATTTTTCATGTTTAAATCTTTAAGTGAATTTGAAGAACCCTCAATATAATATCTAATGCATATTGTCAATATATATTGTCTATATGTCTAAAAATACCTCGAAGGACCCAACTGTTCTACATCTGTGAGAATAAATTGACGTCGATGTTTGTTTCCAAACAATGACAAAGCTAGTGTTTTTTTCCCTACATTGTTAATAGTATTCGAGATTCAGCTGTTTACGTCTACTTACTGAAAAAATCGAATTAATCATGCAAGAGAAAATAAGTGAAAGTAAGTTAACTAATTTACATAGTCTTACAATAAGAAATATCGATCTGCAAGCATTCCCGTAAAAACTTGCAATGTGGCAAGACTTTCTTCATCAAGACATTACAGTGGTAAAATTAGACAGCCAACGGACGATTTATCATTTGATCAAGTTCTTTTAAGATTCCCCAAGTCCAATATCGATAATGTTCCATAATGCAAATATTTAATTAAGACACAAAAGCCCCCGCGTACGGCACTGATTTACCCGGATTGCCTGCTGTCACGGAACCGAGACATGAATTTTGCATTTTTTCTTTCAGGTGAGAAAAATTACAACGTCAGAAACCTGTTATGTTTTTGCAAAAATCCTGCGAATGGAAAAAAATGTACTGCGCTAATTGTCTACCCCGTGTTTTGAGTTTGGCGTATTTGGAGGTAACAGTAATTATCACCTGTGTCCTCTTTCTACCACATGCAAAACCCAATGGTAAACACTCTGCAGAAAGGTAGATTCACTGAAGACATTACACGGAAAGATCATAGATGACTTTGGCATTGCTTTAGTCTTTGAAATACTATG